GATGCTTTTTGCATCATAACATGCTTTCTTTTAGAAAGAAAATTGAAATAGGTTTTTAAGAATCTGCTCAGGGAACATTAATGTCACTTCGTGAAACATTTATTAATGTTCATGAAACATTTACATCCAACTGGTCAGTTTTGCCACTTCAGCAAATTCTGACATTTTCACAATCCATTCCTCCACTGTGGGAATTTGATTATTCTTCCATCATTGAGCATACAGTAGTCTTGCTGCACTTACCATATACAAAATCCATCTGCCACAAATCGTTTCTAATCCATTGTCCATAAGTCCCAATAAAAAAGGTTTTGGTTTGTTCACAATATTTATCTTTAAAACCCTTTGCATAGTTATATGAATTTGTATCTCTAACCCCTGAGATATTGGAACATTACTATTGTGTTACCCCTTCGTCCTTCTCTTCATTAAATTAGACATAATCAATTCCAGCATCCGTTCCTTATATGTTTTAGCCTCCAGTCCCCTAACCATCTTTGTTGCTCTTCTCTATACTCTTTCTAGAGTCTCAACATTTTTTTTACATCATGGTGACCAAAACTGAATGCAGTATTCCAAGTGTGGCCTTACCAAGACATTGTAAAGTGGTGTTAACACTTCACGTGATCTTCATGTTCATCATTTGTACATACTTCGATGTTAAACTCTGTTTTATGTTTTTCAAACCCAGTTATCTTTTTATCACATGAAACCTTTCTTTTAATCGACCATATGAAAACGATGTCCTTCTACCATCGTTTTCTTAACTAAATCTTAATTTTTCCATCTTCCTGTACAAGTAATTCTCAACTTACAACTATTCGTTTAGTGACCGTCTGAAGTTACAATGGCAATGAAAAAAAGGGACTTACAACTGTTTTTTTGTACTTAAGGCCATTGCAGTATCTCCATGATCATGTGATCAAAATTTGGATGCTTGGCAGCTGGTTCATATTTATGACAATATTGCTGTCCCGGGTTCATGTGATCACCTTTTGGCTTCTGACAAGCGCAGTCAATGGGGAAGCCAGATTCACTTAACTTACTTAACAACTGCAGTAATTCCCTAACAACTCTGGCAAGAAAGGTCATAAAATGGGGCAAAACTCACTTAACAACTGTCTTGCTTAGCAATGGAAATTTTGGACTCAACTGTGATCATACATCGAGGACTATTTGGATATATCAGCCATTAAACCCTATCTGTTGTTTCTCTTCTATAAAATGCTTCTTGTGCTGAGGTCAATAAAGGTATCTTTGAACACAGCCTAGGTACAATATTGTCCTTCTCAAATAATGATTTTTTAAATCTCATTAATTTAAACTTTATCGTACTATAAAAATCCATGCCAACCAAAATTCAGGCTACATTTTTTGTTTCTAACGTTCTTTTATTTTTCAGCAAAACTAATTATTTCATCCAACTAAACAGTAAGCTGCAAAATATAATTTATCATCAGGAATTTCTGATCTTCTAACTTTTGCATCTTGCAGAATTTTATATTTAATCTTTGGTTTCTTACCCTGCCATATAAATTTAGATACACCTTTTTGCTATGGTTTAAAAGGTGGATCAAATTTCAATATTTAGCACTATGTATATTTCTCATAGACGCTGAAGAACCATAGCTTTATTATACATTTTGAAAAGTCTGTGCCTTTGGCACTTACTATTGTGGTTTCTCTCTTATTTTCTTGCTGTGTATTTTCTTCTTATCTGTCTTGTGTTTGTATTTCTTCACTTGATCTAATTGTGCCTGTACCCATGTTGATTAATCCTTCCAATTTATCCCAGAATGTCATCCTTTTAAGTTTACCCATCAAATAGTATATTATCTTTTCTTCTGTAATATTCTGATTGGTATCTTTTTTCAACAAAATTATATCTATATTATTTATATTCACTCATTCATTCATTCAATTTAGTATTGAAATGTTACTGGATTACCTTGTCTCTTATTGCAATGCTATTTGGAAAGATCTTGAGAGAATATTCTCTTGGCAGGAGGACTTGGGCTTATTTATTTATTTATTTATTTATGAGACTTATATACCCCTTTAAGTGCAAGCACTCTCTAAGCGGTGTACACCAGTAAACAATGTATATATATATATTTACATTGCCCCCAACAATCTGGGTCCTCATTTTACCTACCTCGGAAGGATGGAAGGCTGAGTCAACCTTGAGCCGGTGAGATTTGAACCGCTGACCTGCTGAACACAGTCAGCTAAAGTGGCCTGCAGTACTGCACTCTAACTGCTGCGCCACCTCGGCTCTTATCTCCCGAGGTCTTTCCCACATAGCATTATTCTTATGTTCTTTCCAACAGAGTATACAAGTTTATCACTTGGTACTTTTTATGTTTGAATAGTATTAATTCTGTACACTTTATTCACTTCTAATTACATATCTTCCATTCAAAAAATTGGATAATGACTCCACAGCTCTTTCTCTGACATCTTCACCAAGTTCTTCTTGAACTGTTCTCAGTCTCAAACAAAATTATTCCTGTCTTTGTTCTAAAAGAGCCATATTATCTAAAGCCCTTTCTATCTCCTTGTTAGTTGGTTTTGTTTTCCAAAATTTTCCAATAATTCCAATTTTTATCCATGTTTTCTTTTTCCTACTTATACATCTCTCTTTCAATCTTTCTTTTAAATTAGTCAGCTTTTTCCCCCAGTCCCAGTAACTGTTGCTGTTAACACACATCTCCAATTCCTCAACAATTTTCTTGCCTAATTCCTTCTTCTGCCCTCTGCCTTCTGTAAATGCCTCCCTCCTTGTGTTGTCATTTCTGTAGCTTTTGCTAGTTTGCTTATAATCCAGAAGAAAGAAATGTGAAGAAAGAAAAAAGAATAGAGAAAGAAACTCCCAATGAATACCTCTCTGTGAACCTGCACAGAGGCCCCCATGGTTATAGCTGCCACCTGTTCAATGTGAGTCCAAAAGCTCAATTGAATATTCTGTTTGTCCTCAGCTTTGTGAATGGACTAAGATGTATACCATTCAATAGTTGAGCAAGAGTAGTTTCAATCAGGATGATCTATACATAATTGCTTAGTGCTACATGTGGCCAATAAGTGTAAAGATCATTCTTATCTGATCTTTGATTTTAGTCTCTAAGATAAGACCATGGGATATTTTGGGTAGATTTACTCTTGTTGTTCATCCATATGTTATATGGAAATGATCCCATCCATATATCCAAGGGAATGAAACAAGAATATATTCTAACATCATTGCTTTTTAATATATACTATATATTAAGTGTCTGATTAAAACTCTCCAAAGTATTGATACCCAAGTGGCCAAACTGACTGCCATTTTGTATTTCTATTTTTTAACGTTGGTTGAAGGGCCACTCGGTTGTTATTAATTACTCTGAAAGTGTCAAAGGTTTCTTTTCACTATAAACTCTTTTATCTCCAAAATATGTTTGGGAAAGTAGGTTCAGCAAACCCAGTGCTGTTAGTGGTGTTCATCTGAGATTTTGAGTGTGCTGTTAATTTCTGTGGCTTCTGGTGTTCTACTTGACAAGATCCCTCTGGAACATGCCAGACCACCCCTCCAGAAAGTAAATGGATAATCTCATGGCTTCCTTCTTGTCCAGGAAAGCGTCTTTGGCTCTGGCACAAAGCCTAGCTAATGGTAATCACTCAGCATTATTATCTGGGGGCGTTAAGTCACTATTATTCTACTCTATTGTTTTTTATTACATCTCTTGTACCACACATTCTATGTATATCTAATGTGCTTTTGGTTTATAGTCATCTGTTTATATTTTTTCTTCTGTCCTGTGGTGTCTGATTCTCAGAGGCTTAATAGACAAATCTATATATGGATTATTGGTATTATGGAAAGGATGTAACTATGTTTTCATAACTTTACAACAGGCACGGTAAATATACAATTCTATATGTTAATTTTGTGTGGCATATAGAATATTAACACTTATTTCGTTAATTTAGACTTGGAAAACATTTGACTTAGTTAAAAAATATGTGTAGTAAGTAGTTCTTACAATGATTCCAACAATGATACAAATGGGTTGTGTAAATAGCCAAAATTCAATTTGGATTCATGATTTGAGGATAATTTCTGTTTTAGGTTTTGTATTTAAAGTTTAAAAACTGGATGTTTAATTCGTTTAAAGATTTAACAGTGTATATTTTAGGGAAACATCGGAATGGGCATAGCAGAGCATAATTACATTTTAAAACTTGAAGGCATTTTTAATGGCATCTCATTCTAAAAGGTCATTTTATTTTCTTCATGCCAGTTTCTCCCATTTTATTATTCCAGTTCCTAAACCGGTAAGTGAATTGATGAAAATGTAGATGCAGCAAATATTTATTTAACTATATAATAGGACCACCACATATAAACATCCTGGTCATCTACTGCAGCAAAAGAGGTATCCAGCCATAATGGTTTCCCATGCCACTGGAGTAAGGTCTCTTCTGCTGAGAGAGTTGTGCCATGGCTATTCCACATAAAAATCCATCATACACAGGTTTCTCATGTGCAATTCATCTTCAGCTGTGCTAGACTGTATATTTTCGTGAGACTGTAGAGCCACCTCTGTGTCCACAGATGAACTACACAATAGCACGTTTTTTTTTAACCTAAAGGGCCACCATATATATAGGATCCTAATTTGTTGAAAAGTTCCAGGAACGTAACTGGATCTTTTTTACCTTGATGTCTGAATTCATCTAGTATCACTGTTGCTTCAGCTGTTACAAGCCAGACATTGCTGGATTTAAAGTTCCAGAGAAATGAGATACAGAAAGATAGGGACACTAGAAGGCTGTAATCCTTGTATTGAGGATGCTAATATATAACAACATCTACATGTATTATTACTGAAGTCCTTTTACTATAATTGAGCAAAAAAATCAGCATGCTGGACTGATAGTTTCTCATAATTTTATACAATGTTTTGGACTGTTCTCTCCTTTCCTATCCTGATTATTTTTTCCTTATTTTAATGTTTTAGGTGTTAATAGTTGGTGGGTCATTTGGGCTCCGTGAATTTGCACAGATTCGATATGATATTCAGAAGGTTCGTGGAAAGGTAAGCAGAATTCTTCTCCTTGTAAAATACAAGATTCAAGAATATTAGCCAATTTTTAAATGGAAGGACAAACTCATTGATTCAGTGTTTACTTCCCAAACCCAGATAGCTAAAATTTTGAAATTTTCATCCCACACAAAGCTGCAAGGTAGCAACTGTTTCCCAGTCCTTTCTATTGTATCTTTCTTGCCCATTTTCAAAGCCCAAGAGAACAGTATGTTGACGACAAAACCTATTCATTCATTCATTCAATCAATCAATCAAAATTGCATCCCATATTTTGCCCAAAAGATAGGTTATGAGTCTACATCTATTTTTTTTTTACATTTATGTACAGTTTTTCTGCCATTATACTCAAGGAAATTCAAGCTCTGTGCCAATCAGTGCAAAAGAGAAAGCTGTGTGAATAAAGTCTGAAAGACTTTAGTTCCATATTATATACTTCCTGAGAGCAATTAAGAGAACAATAGGCCTGGCCTTGAAATAAATTGTCAGCATTCTACTATCAGAGGAAAGGTAGAACCCAGGGCAGTGTACAAAATCATTAAACAAAAATACAAAAGAAAAGTTACACACACCAGTACAGGAAGCTGAAGCAATTAATTGTTGATGAAGACTAAAATGCATTAAACTTCACCATTTGGCAACTATATTTATCTTGACCCAGGGAAATAGCCAAGTCTTAATTGCCTTTCCAAACATCTGCAGGGTTGGAGTCAACCATGTACGGGAAGGGTGGGGGGAGATCCTTCCAAAAGGAAGGAGTTGCTATTGAAAAGGCCATACCTTTGGGTCCCACAAAGTGATATTGTTTCAGAACCATATGGGATGGGAAGATACCGTGATAAGGGCAGTCATGACAGACAAAGCTTTTGGCACAAGGGAATTGCATGAATTGGTCTGAATGTCATGCCAAGTGTATGAATGCAGGACAAGGAAAAATAGCAATAGAAGTTGCAGTGTTGCTTCTAATGGAAGAGCAAGGCATGGAGGTTGTTCTTGTATAGTCCCAGGTCTAGGAAAGCTTGATTAGGGGCATTATTGCTCTCTTCTTGAAGCTCTTCCCTCCATAGCTTCTGACATGTTTGGGGGCTAAGCATCCTGCCAGAATCTCTCATTATCTAAGATAAGTCTTTATCTTCTAGAGCTGTCAGAGGCAAGTGATTACCTGCTGATTCCTCAGGCTGATGGTTCGTATGATCTGCTCTTTCATTCTCTGAATCAGAGGATTCAGAAGAGATCATAACAGCTTAGAGTATACTAATGGTATAAAATATAGTAACCACAGTATATAATATCAGGGCAAGAAGAAATACCTTAATGTATCCCAGCTGCTAATTAAGACAATTCTGGAGAATAAAGTCTATTAATAATTATGTGGTTTGAACATTGCTCTGTAGTTTAGCATGATTTATTAAATAGAACTGGAAAGTTTCAGTCAGTATAGTGAGCCATAAACTATGTTTTGCAAACAGCAATATCTGAGTTCATTCTCTAAAATCTATCTAGTTACCTACCAAAATGAATGAATGAATAGATAGAAGTTTCACTGATTATGTCAACATGCAGCTCCTGATTAGCGTGATGGACCTGGAATTGCTTTACATACACTATTATCAGGAAAGTAAAATCTGACAATATTGGGAAATAAGAAAGAACTGTTGACAATGTGCAGATGATAATTTATTCAAAATTCATTGTGAACATATAATGCATTCATATATTTCTTCCAATTCCTCAGAATTTTATGTTCCTGTGAGCTAGCATCAGGAACCCTTCTATAAATGCATGAATTTCAAATCATCATAACACCTAACAGATTAAATGCTACTAAAACGTATCATTCGGAAAATTGAATGCAGAGTGAATGTTGCAATTATAATTTATATTACATTTATATTACATCTTCACAAGATGTATTACATTTATATTACATCTTCACAAGAAGATGTAATATATATTACATTTATATTACATCTTCATAAGAAGCTGTACCTTTCTGTCTGATCATGTGGACTACTCCATGTTTCTCTGTAACATTCAAATGGAATACTACAGAGTGCATTATAATCCCTAAATCTCTTAATTATTTTTTTTTTAACATCAGGGCTTACTTTCACTGAAATTGTTCATTCTAGGGAAGAAAAAAGATGTTTCCCTTGGGTTTTTTCTTGGCAATTGCTTATAATTGCTTATAGTGGCAATTGCTTATAATTCATAATTGAATATGCATCAGTTTTGATTTCTGAATATACTGGAAAAGAACACACAGTTGCTTGGGCCTGTTGGCCATTAGTACACAGGATTCTGAATCAGACTATTGGTAAGATTCCTGGACTTTTGACTACTTCCTGTCATTTCCAAAAGTTAGCACTTGTTCTTTAGTCATATACACAAGAGGCATTTATTTCATTTATTTTTATTTAAAAAGTAAAGGATTTGAGTGTAGTAGTCCTATACAGCAATATTGGCTAGGTTAAACAGATATTATTATAAATATAAACATTATTTAATCTGATAGGCCCTGTAATGTTTCATATTCAAATTTAAAATAAGGCTTCATAGTGCATGGGATCATGACCTTAGCATCTGTCTGCAATTCTTTAAAATCATTTCCCCAGAATCATGTAGCTGCTTTATCCAACTCCAACACGGTTCTAGAAAAGAACACAGTTGTTTGAAATGGGTGCAGATAGGTGTTGCATTAGCGCACGCACACACACACACACACACACACACATCCTTCCATAAAGCCCTTATGGGTTCAAATCTAAAGCATTATAGAGATTGAATCCAACATCTTAATATGTTTGTAGTACTACCCTCAGAGTAACCAAGGTACTGATTACAAAGACAAAATAGTACTGCATAAAAAAAACAATCCCATCATTTTTGATATAAAAGAAACAATAAAGGTCCTTATTTTATCTGTCTTATAGGGCAGAGTTCCCCAATCTTTCCAGCTTTGCAGACCGTGGAGAGGGGGAATGTTTCTGTGTGAGCGGCCAGGAAGGATCCCCACTTGCGCAAGCAGCGGGTGAGCGGGTGCATGCACCTCCATGTGCGCGAGTGGCGGCTGCATGTGTCTGCCACACATGCAAATGGAACTGCAGCTACATTTGCATATGTGGCAGATACATGTAGCCGCCACTCGCGCACATGGATGTGCACGCACACACTCACCCTCTACTTGTGCAAGTGGGGATGCTCACTCGCCCACTGCTTCTGTGGCCGGGTTCTGAACAACTCACAGCCCAGTAGTGGGCTGCAGAGTCGGGGATGGGAACCTATGTTCTAGGGGCTTTAGAAGTGATTTAAATTTAAATCTTTATAAAACACCTCAGTTTGAAAAGCACAAGATAAATATTTAATTTACAGACTTCCCCTGTACTGTTGTAAAAGTTTACTAGATGTCACTACAGAAGCTATTTTAGCTGATATTTAACAAATCTTGAACTGAGTCCTGATTTTATTATCTTGAACCATCAAGGAAAAATGAATCAATTGGACGAAAGGTCTAATGCCTTTAATGAAATCGTCAAGAACATTTCAGCTCATATATAAATCAAAAGACTGGATTAAATTCCATAATTTATTTACAGCCTACATAAATTAGATTTCCTAGTTGCTTTCAGAAATGCACCATTTTGAAACTAATTACTGCTGTGCAGTAGATAATATCTATTTGGTAGGTAATAGAATTTGATTGAAATGTCTCTCTGGACAGTCACAAAGAGGAATATCTTTGGGATTATAGTATTTCAATGTAGCCAGATTTTTTTTTCACTTGGAGCTCCAAAGGGCCACATAGAAAGAAAAGTAAGAGTTTATAGAGCAAACTAATTTTAAACAAAGTTAAAAACAAAAGTCAAATGTTAGCCCATGTGTAGAAGAAATTATGATGACCTAAAAGTTCTGTCTATAAAAACACAGTATTAGATGCGAGTCCATGTTGCATATTCAAAGTTAATTTTTCACACAAGAATATTCTTTTTGAAGAAGGAAAGTTTTGAAGCATTGCAATATAAAACATTTCCACTTTTGCACCCAAGCCTCAAGGGCATTTTGTTTCAAATCTTGCACTTCAGGCTATTTAAGTGGTTTGTAAAAGTACAGGTACAGCATATTAAACAGGCTTTACAAAGGCACCTTCAGGAATTGTCTTTTAATATTTTAAACATAGGTGTCTTACTTTTCTTATTCCCTTGCCCCTTATTCTTCCATTATATCCAGATGAGTCAGCCAGCTATTCAGCGGCAGAGTTACAGTTCCAAAAGAAAGAATTAAATACCAAGATGTGCATTTCTTAACCAGAGTCAAACCCTTTTTGACACAATTTTAATTGGAGAAGTGGTAAATAAATGGCCTCAATATGATTTTCTAGTTCTTCTGAACCAGAGAGCATTTTTACATTTGAAAAAAGTCCATTCAAGAGAGCACATCATTTAATTAACTATTTGAAAAAAGAGTTCTTCACAATTCACAAGCTATTCAGATGGCCTCATAAAAGGTAGCGATTACCTCAATAGGTTTCTAGAATATTTTTCTCTCATAGATACAGGTAGTCCTCGACTTACAACCACAGTTGACCCCAAAATTTCCATTGCTAAGTGAGACATTTGATAAATGAGTTTTGCCCCATCTTATGACCTTGCTTGCCACAATTGTGAAGTGAATCACTGCAGCTGTTAAGTTAGTAACACAGTTGTTAAGTGAATCTGGCTTCCCCATGTGACTTTGGTTGTCAGACGGTCACAGGACATTACAACCATCATAAATACGAGTCAGTTGCCAAGCATCTGAATTTTGATTACGTGACCATGGGGATGTTGCAGTGGCCGTAAGTGTGAAAAATGGTCATAAGTCACTTTTTTCAGTGCCACTGCAACTTTGAACGGTCACTAAATGAACTGTTGTAAGTTGAGGATTACCTGTATTACCATTTTTTGTGCTTCAAAGTTTATTCCTTCTGCATGGTCACAGCTTTCTTTAACCTCTTCTTGGTGTCAGGCATACCTTCATTTCTCTTTCCTCTCTTCAGAGCAAGCTTGTTTACCCTTTTTGCTTATTGTAGTGCAATTTTCTGAATTTCAAACTTTTTCTTCTGTTGTATAGGATGTATCCTTGTATCTTTCTACACATCTATCTCATATTTTTTACAATTTGCATCTTGTTCTTCAATAGCTTTTCATTACAGTATTTTCTGCCTTGTAGAAGGTTGATTTTTATTATTATTATTGATTTGGACCATGTTAACTGTCTTCTTTTTTCCCAAAGCTTATGTCACTCCATTTGGGAATCATGACTGTAGTCAGAGAGACGAAATAAATCTTAAGTACCAGAGCCGTTGTGATTTAACTATTCATGAGGTTTTCTTCTTTATTCATTTATTAAATGTGTTTGCCGCCATCTTGCCTCGCGGCAACTCTGGGCAGCTTATAAAATTGAAAAAGATAAAACCATAAAAAATATTTCTAAAAACAGTAAAAATGGAATTACACTCAAAGTAACACTATAATTAAAAGAGGTCCGTTTAACAATTCTGTGAGATTAATTAGCCTGAGAGAAGTTGACTGGTCCCAGGTCACTCAGTGATCCTTACAACAAGTGGAATTTAACCTTGGCTGCTCTATATGATCTTTGTTACCATTACACCATACTGGCTGCAAAGAATCCATTTAACCTATTGCTCTTCTGCAACAACAGCTAATTGGCTGCTTCATGGAAGTTTACCAACAAGGCTAAAAAGGTCCCAGGATCCAGTTTTTGCACTTGAAAACTATTGTGGCGGGTTAGTTAGAGTGTTTATGTCCTAAAAATTAAGCTAAAGCCAAGCTTGCTTTTCTGTGGGCAAGAGACCCTCATTGTTCTTCCAGTTTTAAACTTGCCTTAAATCAAGAATTAGCTCCTCAGCTCTTCCAGTTATATAGGATTAGAACAGCTCATTTCAGAATTCACTTCCATATCTTTGTTCACACAGTGTTGGTAATAGTAATCACAATATTTTATATAGACATTTTTTTCTGTTTAGTGAAAAAAAACCTTGTTCTCCTCTCCCCTCCCCTCCCCTGTCCTCCCCCCCCTCTCCTCTTCCCTTCCTTTCCCTTCCCTTCCCTTCCCTTCTCTTCTCTTCTCACAGCCTGTCATAATAGCACAGCTAAAATTCATCTGAAAATAAGACTGGCTAACTAGGGGGTGGGTTATGATAACAGGTGACATGAGCATGTCTTTCTGTTGTAATTGTTTGAACAAGTGACCTTTCTGATAATGTAGCTGAAATAATACATTGGGGCAGACTTAAATATTTTATGGGGCCCACCTTAGCTACGCCAGAATGAACAAAATGTAAGAAATAGATAAATTAGTTTCAAAAAAAAAATAAATTGCACTATAGGCTACTCTCAGAATGGCATACTAAAAGGAGAGGGAGAGCACGTTTTTGATAATTACATTCAAACATCCTATCTGTATGACAAAAGCACCCCCTCTTCACTTTGCATTCAATCTCAAATACCTGTACTTCACTGTTGATCCTATGTCTTACTAGTCCTTTCCCCCCCCCCCGTACTTCTAGAATTTCTTATCACTTTAAAAGCATTACAGCAGGCACGCAAAATTTGTTCAATCAATTCAGTATTTTTTTGAGAACCCAGTGTCTTAATATATGCTATAGTTAACTTCTGGCAGTTGAATTTCTCTTCAATTCACCAGCATTCCAGCATGCAAAAAAACCCTTGGATAATGAGTTTGTAAATATGATCAGTCTTGAGACATTGAATTTTAATGAGGCTTCTGCAATCTGGAGCTATTTATTTTGTGATTGCTATTGGACTAAACAAAGAAGAGTTTAGGGAACAGTTTTGCCTATGAAAATAAATAAACCTGAACTTCCTTTGAGATGTATTTCAACTTTCCATTTTATGAATAGAAATTAATATGAAAGATTATCAATAAAATGCTTATAATGATATAAATAATCTTTCCCCCTCTTATATGAAATAATTAAGGTTTTCATGCTAAGCATGAATTATTGGCCAAACCTTTTATGATAGACCCTGTTGGAATTATGATTATCTCAGAATGAACTGTGTAAGAATTCCTTTTCCTTTTCTCTATACAGGGAAGTATGTGGTATTTGAAGGTGCGGGGAAATTACAGTCCTTCTTAGGTTAAGTTTTCTTTGTGATTAGAAGTATTTGATTGCTTTATTTTATTAATCAGATGGATCCAGACTTGGAAAAAAGGCTCAAAAAGAGTAAGGTGACCCTGGAACAGGAATATGAGGTATGATATTGGTATATTTACTTTACTATATGGCTACTTGGTTATAATATACATTCTACCCATGTCTAAAGTTAAATAAACTTTAACTTTGATTCATAAGGATCCGGCAAAAAACAAATTGCTTTGAAAATTCAAAGCTTTGTTGGATGCAACCCCCATTTTTCATGTTCATACAGTGCTGCAAACACAGTTTTACAGTTAAGAAAAGCTGCAGATCTAATTAGGATGTGCAGGTATCTGTGTTGCTCTTTAAGATAGGGTAGCTAATTGCAAATATGTGTTATTGTTTAGTGATACAGACTATTAATCTATCAGCCCCTTAGACCAGCTGTACAATTCTAGCCTCATTTGGTGCCCACCATGTATACTAGATTTTGGAACTCCCAAATCAAACGGATTCACATATTATTTAAATAGACATAAATCCTATTCCGAATTAAATTTTATATGTAACCCAATCCGTAGGAATAGCAAAATGCTCCAGTAAAAAGCTGTGGTGGCGCAGTGGTTAGAATGCACTATTGCAGGCTAATTCTGCCAACTGTCAGTAGTTCAATTCTCACCGGCTCAAGGTTGACTCAGCCTTCCATCCTTCTGAGATCGATAAAATGAAGACCTATATTGTTGGAGGCAATATGCTGACTCTATAAACCGCTATGAGAGGGCTGTAAAGCACTGTGAAGCGGTATATAAGTCTAAGTGCTATTGCTAATTATAAAACTGAACCTCAAAAATGATACTTTTTTGACATTCTTCAGGCGAATTAATTCAATACTGCTGCTTACCCACTCAGCAAAAGAATCCTGCTCCTTAATTCATTTTCAACAAAAATAATGTAAAACAAATATCCCCACTGATAAGATGGGAAGCAAGGAAAACAATAGCAAAACTGGATTACAGTGGATTAAGTGGTATATGCACTTTCATTTGCACTAATGAAGTATGTCTCCTAGCTTTTAGACAGAAGATAGTGGTGACAGACAAAGATGGAATATTCACTATCATAAATTTTTAATCTGGTCCTCTGTAGAAGCTAAAAGAAAATCTCAGGCACCTCTTTCTACCCAATAAAATTTAATAGCTTTTCAGTATCTCTAGCCGATACACTTATTTCATTGTCTCTAGGCTGCTGGGTGGAAGAGGGGCGATGGGAATTCAGGGTCACTCCCCTTAAAGATCATGAATTGGAATGGACAGAAATAAGTAATGGCTTTAGATAAATTTATCAGTTTTACAGTACTTATCAGTCCAACTTGAAATTGTTGTACTGGGCAGAATATCACATCAATAAAAAGAAAACCAAAATCTATTAGTGTCTAAACCCAAAAATAATCATAACATCAAAAATAAACCCAAGATAGGTATTCGCAGTCAGTCAAATGACCAAAGAGGAAAGAACAGAATAAGAATCTGTTCCCATATAAACTCTCCTCATGCTAATGTTTCTCTATTTTAAGACTTTAGACAATGGTGACTAGACAATTGGTGAATTGTTATGGCATTGAATTTTATTGACTTACTTTATTTTAATGCTGTAATCCATTTTGTATCTTTGAAAAACATAATAAAATTATTTTTTTTGATCTGTCTAACACTATGTGGGAAACTCATATAAATTAAACCTCTGCTTTTTCTGTCTCGCTCTTTGTGTATATGTACGGTATATTTAAACATACACACACAAAAAAGTCTCTGATTTTTCCAATAGTTCTAGAGGTAGGAAAGCAGTATGGAAGTATTTTTTTTAATTGAAATACACAAGCTTAGCAAGGTGCCCTGTCTAAATCAGATTGCACTTCAGATGTTTGAAGGATAATAATGATGCAACAGTAACATAATGTTCTAATTTGGAACATAATGATATAATTTGAAAGCTGGGAGTGTTGTGTCTAATCTATTAATTTGGGGTATCCAGATGCAAGTGAATTTCTAGCTGATAATATACAATCAAACATTCCCATTTCACTCTCCCTGAGTTTTAAAAGTATGTTTTATTGCCTATTTCAAAGCTCCACAGAATGTTTCAACCTTCTTTCAGAACCCTGAATGAATCAGTTGCATTATTTTTGTTAGCTAAGATGTCCATACTGCCCACTCCTGACTCTAATAAAATGAGATGCTACTCTGAGTTGAGATGGATACATTATGTTGTCATTTGTATTTTAAAAAATCTTGCATTTTTCATTTAGCAATCTCTTATTTTTCATGTATTAGAGATTCCCTAGTATTACCTAGATTTGAGCTAGGAATTTCATTTTGTTGATCTGAGAGCTGAAGACATAATTTGTTTTAGACTGGTGGATCATGTTCAGAAGAGAATGTTTTCACACATTTCCTTCCCTTCCTTTTCCACCCCACAAAACACACTATTTTAGATAAAAGGTGTTTAGAACTACTTTAGAATGGGAGATGCTTCTTAGCACAAGGGGAGGGGTATTGGTTTTTGCTTTCTATGTAGTAGATTTTACCTTCTCTTGAAATTGTAATAAGATAATAACAGTTTTTGAGCACAGCAAAAGGGGCTGAAAGGAGCCAGATGGAAATTAATGATTCCTACTATAACCATCTAACCCAAGAATCCCAATTTTTTACCTTAGCTACAGAGAAAAAGTGTGATTGTGCTGAGGTGTTGTTTTATTTGAATTCATGTTTGGAAAATTGCTTACTATTTATCTCTATAATCTTTTATAATCATAGCTAAGTTTGCATAATGCCTTAACCATCTCCACAAACTAGCTGATCATTATTTTAGACTATAATTGGTCACATAGTCATACAGATGTTTAGACTGGATTTGGCATTTTTGTCCACCTAGCAAGTCCTTCACAAGGATCTGGAATAGGCAGATGATGCTGTTTAATAATATTAAAGGAAATGTCTCATGATGTAAGGTGTCTCAAGTAAAGCTGCCATTTGCAAATGACTAAGGGTGACTTTATCAATGCTGTTTAAGTCCAGATATTTTGGAATTGCACCCAAGACACCTATTATTATTGTGACTATCTTTGCTTTGTTTTGCCACAGTCATTCTTCTTCTGTTTGCAAGTATTATTATATACTGCCAGTTCTTTGCATGATGTTGGCATTCACCCGCATTAAGTTCTTTGCAAGAACTTAGGATATCATAATGTATTGGCACAGTATATACATGCAGTATGGCCTTTTATAATTGACAGGTGGAAATTTTGTCAATGTGCAGATTTTCTAAGTGCTGTCCAAGATTTTTTGGTATGGCACCCAGTGGCCAGTTTATACCTTTATATTTCAACTTTGAATATTATTATTCAACAATAGGTTAAATCTACATCTATTATTATTCAACATTAGGTTAAATCTACATCAACATTAGGTTAAATTTAACATATTATTTAACAAAGTAATTATTATGTAATATTGTTGTTGTGGTTTGTCAGCCAGATATTTAGACTGGATTTGGCATTTTCACGCACCTATTGAATCCTTCCCAAGGACCTGGAATGTTATGCATTGTATGAGCCCTCCTGGCTCATTGTTCAGTATGTTGTGTGAAGCCAGAAAATGGGGTTAACTCAATTAATTAATGATGCTTTTAATTTGTTGTGTGAACACTTCCCATTGAATAGCATTTATATTGTAGAAATCGGCAAATAAACAACATTTTTATGTTATGATTTCCTGTCTCCCTTTCTTTTTTCTACAGAAAATGAAAAATGCCTCATTTGATGACTGGAAGAACATCAGAGGGCCCCGCCCGTGGGAAGAGACTGGATCTGATCAAGAGAAGCAGCAGTAGCAGTACAGTGCTGCCTAAAAGCCAACCTAACTAATTAACTAGTTGTGCTCTTGAATTATCCTGTAAGATGAATACAATGGGTGAATTAATAGAATCTGCTACTAAGAATATGGCTATGTTTGACATGGCTAAGCAGAAGCCTTGTAAGTAAATATTTTGAATTTTGCAGTGATTATTGATAATGCTAGTCAAATAAATTTAGATAAGAATTTAATTAAAAACATGAGTTTTTATTAGACTTCTTCTTAATGACTTGAAAGGTAACATATTGTCGTAAATATAGGCTGTGTCCTACATTTAGTTTCAGACATTTACATTTTTATTAGATCTGTGTTATTAGGACAACATTTTGTTCCATCCATATCCATTTATGTTTGCAACTCTTTCTAACTTTTGTAGGCAACTTTACTTAATAGATGTAATTAAAATAGGGTTTCTTGAGGAACTCACATTAACTTCACTTTTTCTAACATACTTTGCTCATGAGAGTCTCTAAAGCAGTGGTTCTCAACCTGTGGGTCGGGACCCCATTTGGGGTCGAACGACTATTTCATGGGGGTCGCCAAACAACGCAGTCCACCATTTTTTCCCCCTTTTCCTTAGCTGTGCTACTCCCTTTTATTCTATTGGCTTTTGAAAGCCAATAGTATATACTCTCTTGAATAGAGTCTAATTCTATTGGCTTTCAAAAGCCGATAGGAATTGTCCAGGCTGTCTCTGCCCTGCTGAGCCTGCCAAAAGTCCCATTCTGCAAATGGTGCTGCACCAGTTGAGTAGTCCTCGACTTACGACCGGTTGAGTAGTCCTCGACTTACGACCGGTTGGGGGTCACGGCATTAAAAAGGTTGAGAACCACTGCTCTAAAGGTAAATTAAGTGATGCTCAATTTTTCTCATTCTGCGGTTCATCTGTCCTAAAGAGAAGAATTCACTCCAACTTGAGGCACATAATCAAAATAACTGCTAACCATAATGATTTCCAGTTTTGAGCGCCAGTTTTGTGTAATGGTTAAAGCGTCAGGCTATAAACCAGGAGACCATGTGTTTTAGTCCCACTTTAAGAATAAAGCAGGCTGGGTGACTTTGGACCAGTCCCTTTCTCTCATGCCTAGAAAGGAGGCTATGGCAAACCATTATTGAAAAACCTTGCCACATAAACCTCAGGGAGTTGTCCAGGCAGTCTCTGAGAATCGGATATGATTGAACAAAAGAAAAAAGTTTTACATGTTCTCATCAGGGTCAGTTTAAGGCAGCGGTTCTCAACGTTTGTGTGACGGCGATCCCCGTCACACAAACGTTATGCGCATGCGCGGCGGCGGCGCGCATGGGGGCGGGGCCCCTGCGTGCGGCGTGCATGCGCGGCGCCCCCCGCGCCACGCGCATGCGCGGCGCCACCCCCGGAGGCGCGGCACCGCCCCGTGTGGCGCGCATGTGGAGGCGCGCATGCGCGGCAGCGCCCCTGCGCGCCGCCACCCCCACGCGCAGCGCGCGTGCGCGGCACCGCCCCCCGGAGGAGGGGACAAAATGGCGGATCGCCGCGTTTGGCGACCCCGCAAAAGAGGTCGATCGACCCCAAATGGGGTCGCGACCCATAGGTTGAGAACCGCTGGTTTAAGGGCTCATAAGGTATGCAGCTGCATTGGGATCCCCCCCCCATCCCAAACAGAGCATTATTGTATGCTGAAGTAAGCAAAGTATGAACAAAGATGAAGAAGCTGTAGCTTACTTCATCATCTGTCTTGAATGTCTTGTGTTCATCTCATGTGTCTCTTATAGGCAAGTTATGGCTTGTTTTAATTTTTTTTTTTTTCAAATAATGAATTGTTTTCCTCTCTTGAGGAATATTTGCTCCGTTTATATTCCAGGTTAATATTTCTAACCCACAATCAAGTCAATAACGCAGAAAAATTGATATTTGTAGAACCTAATTCAGTATCATCCCTTTCAGTTCCCAATTTGCCTGTTGGAGTTTTTGTGTAGTTTCGTCTGCCTCATCCATTTGAATTTCCTCTAGAATTTTTCTAGAAATTGTCTCACCTTATGAAGAGAACAAGTTTCCTGAGGGCAACATTTCACAAGTGGTTTGCAATTGCTTCCTTCCTATGCCTGAGAGAGAGTGACTGGCCCAAGGTCACCCAGTCCATGCCTAAGATGGGACTTGAACTCATGGTCTCCCAAGAGAGAGAGGGGGTAGGGATGGAGGGACTGAGAGAGAGAGAGAACTACCATTTATTTATTTTATTTATTAAAATTTATAGACCGCCCTACTCCCGCAGGACTCCAGGTGGCTAACAATAAAAACACAATATAACTTAACAAGACAAACAATACAGTAACATTTTTATAAACCCCAGGCCTGCCGGAAAAGCCAGGTCTTAAGCAGCTTGCGGAAAACCAACAGGGTGGGAGCGGTCCTAATCTCCGGGGGGAGCTGGTTCCAAGACGTGGGCGCCATCACAGAGAAAGCCCTCCCCCGCGGCCCCGCCAAATGGCACTGCTTGGCTGACGGGACCTGAAGGAGGCCCATTAATATATTAATGATACCAAATCCCAAACTACCATATGCTTTTCTCCAGTGGCTTCACATACATATTCACATAGCAGCTTTAAATGGTGCCTCTGACAAAAACAGGACGGGACACATGTTAAATAAGAGAGGAAAGAAGTTTAAGCCCTGATTTTCCAGAGATTTTTGTGGTTGATAGCCCATTTCTTTCTCATGCTGTGTGAGCCTAGCCAGTATTGGTTTGCCTAGCCATGATTTATTCAACAAACCAAAAGTAAGTCCTGTTACAGGCCATTGACTCAGAATTACAGCCGGTATTTTCTGTTCTGAATAGAAATTACTCTGAGTTGAGAATTCTGTACTCATAATACTGAGATCTTCCCCTGTCTTCTTACCCAAAAATCCTTTTAGGTGCAAGCGCTAGGCGTGGAATCTATTATATTGGACAACTGAATTCTATATGGAGGAAAGCTAACAGTTATTTTCCTTGGTTACTTTCCTTCAGAGCATTTCAACCATCCAATGATCATTTACCAAGGAGAATTCTGTTTGTTTACATGAGAATATACTAATTTCTTGTTCTATACAGCAGTGGCATTTAACTAAATATAAGTTCATAAAGCCACAGGAGTTACTGTAGCCCATAAATTGCTCATTCTTCCTGCCAAACATTTCATTCTTCACTGGCCTCATTCTCTGCAATTTGCTAGCGGCAGCTTTTTCCTATGAAACCAGTAAGAATGTTGACATGCCACAAGTCATCCAATAAAGCTATGGACATTTTTTTAACACAGCAGTTTTAGGTACAGTGTCTTCCAGCAATATTTTCTCACATTAGGTACAGTGTCTTCCAGCAATATTTTCTCACACTCTGGATATATTTAGATTCATGTGAGGCTTTCTGTTCACTTGTGCCATTTTGTATGTGTCCTTATTTAAAATATATTTATTTCAGAGATATTTATATCTCATCTTTCATTAATGTAAGTTCAAGTGGCAAACAAAATAAATGGAACTGTAAAACCTGTTGGTCTAAGACTATTCCAGCTCATAGAAAAAACTAAAGTTACTTAGATTTCGGCATTGAGCTGTGGTATAATAATCCCTGTTCATACTTACTGAGAAGTAAACCCTATTGAATGCAGATAAGCTTGGATAATCATGTCAGGGATCGGACTGTACGTGGAGTATTTACCTAGATAAGAGCAGGAGAAAACATCATGAATAAGAGCTATCACAAGTTTTGTTTTGTTCACTGTTTATTTCTTCCAGTACATTAGTGACGTTCTCCATTGTTCATTTGAGTCAATTCAACTAATGCAGAGAGTAAATGTAACTGGGAACAGAGTTTACTAGAATAATACTTTCTTTACAAATGCATCCTGAAATTCAAAACTTTGAAATACCTTGTTGCTGTGTTTTGAGCATTTTGGAGCCTGAACTGAGAATGATGATGATGATGATGATGATGATGAAGAAGAAGAAGAAGAAGAAGAAGAAGTTGCTACTGCTGCTGCTCCTGCTGGAAGGGACCTTGGAGGTCATCTAGTCCAACCCCCTGCTCAGGCAGGAAACCCTATACCACAGGTGTCAAACTCATGACATCATATGATATGTCGCGACGTATCGCGACTTTTTCCCCATTGCCGGCAAAGGGGTGGGCACAGTTTTGACGTGACGCATCTGGCCCATAAGCCGGCAGTTTGACACCATTTCAGACAAATGCCTGTCTAGTCTCTTCTTAAAAACTTCCAGTGTTGGAGCATTCATCGCTTCTGGAGGCAGGTTGTTCCACTGATTAATTGTTCTAACTGTCAGGAAATTTCTCCTTAGTTCTAGGTTGCTTCTCTCCTTGATTAGTTTTTATCCGTTGCTTCGTGTCCTGCCTTCAGGCGCTTTGGAGAATAGCTTGACTTCCTCTTCTTTGTGGCAGCCCCTGAGATATTGGAACACTGCTACCATGTCCCCCCTTGTCCTTCTCTTCGTTAAACTAGACATACCCAATTCCAGCAGCCTTTCCTTATATGTTTTAGCCTCCAGTCCCCTAATCATCTTTGTTGCTAATTACAATGTGCCAAAAGCAGTGATGGCAAACATATGACATACGCATCACAGATGACATGCCATGTCATTTTGAGTGCTACGTTAGGCTTTTAGACCCTCTGGAAGTCATGTGAGAGGGCCTTGCTCTCATGCCCCCTTTGGAGCCTCCAAAAGTACACAAGAATGAGGTACAATTACCTAAGTATTTGTTTATTCTCCCCCCCCCCATGTGTTTGTGTGTGTATGTGTAGGGTATAACATTCTAGCAGAATCAGGTTTGGCATTTTTTGAATTTTTAATATGCTGAGCCCAAAAGGTTCATCGTCGCGGGCCTACAGAATACAAAGTTGCCTTATTGATTTAAATATAGATTGGGTTCTTTACACACAATCCCTGTCAATGATTTTGGATGACTTACAGCTTTAAAGAAAAATAAAATCCCGAAAAAGTTAATAGGAGCAGTGCCATCTTCACTTCCACAAAAACTGACTGCCTGTGCAATTCTCAAGTATTAAGAAACTTCTTTCTACTTAAATCTCTGAGGATTTCTTTTTATTATGTAGAAACCCCCCCCCCAGGACATTTTGATAATATTAAGACTTGTATTGCAGAAAGTCTCTTGTTTTCTTGCGCTATTTGGCATCTAAGCCATCAAATATCATCTATACTATCTGAGGCCTGTAAAAGCCCTGGATGTAGGCCTCAAAGACTGTTCCTAAAAGCTGCTTTCATATTATAATATGAAAAAATGATGAAGCATATTGGACATACCCTTGTTGCATAAATACATTTTATTTATGTAAATTAAACTACAGTCTAAATTTTGCTCTGCTTCCATCTGTTTTTTAAAGTAGAACTCCTGGCATATTATATAACAATTTAGTGTGATTGCACTACTAAACCTCTCTGTTTAAACTATATGTAGCTATACCAAGTAGGGAAACTCCTTTACTAATATAATTTGATACAATACTGCTATGTCAAGGTCTTTATTAATAGGTCCAGGTCTTTACTGAAACAGAGTTAGAATCTCCCACTTCTACTTCCTACAAAGGTAACCAATGTGATTTCTCTGTAGATTGTTAGGGAAAGGAAGGGCAGGGAAAAAATGAAAGTTCTCTGAACTTTGTTTACATTGTCTCTAAGTTCATTCCACTCACAAATTAATTCCATGGAATGAATGAATGGATGGATGGATGGATGAATGAATGAATGAATGAATGAATGAATTTTGCTTCAGGTTGTACTTTCTGGAATGTTTCCAGAAAATAAACAAACAAACAAAAGTTTGCTTCAGGTTCTGTTTGGCTGCTGATGACTTCATGGAATGTTTCCTATAAATAAACAAACAAACAAATAAATAAATAAATAAAGTTTGCTTCAGGTTGTGCTTGGCTACTGATGATTTCATAGAATGTTTCCTGAAAATAAATAAACAAACAAATAAATAAATTTTGCTTCAGATTATGCTTAGCTGCTGGTGATTTCATGGAATGTTCCCTGAAAATAAATAAATAAATAAATAAATAAATAAATAAATAAATAAATAAATAAATAAATAAATAAATAAATAAATAAATAAAGTTTGCTTCAGGTTGTGCTTGGCTGCTGGTGATTTCATGGAATGTTCCCTGAAAATAAATAAATAAATAAATAAATAAATAAATAAATAAATAAAGTTTGCTTCAGGTTGTGCTTGGCTGCTGGTGATTTCATAGAATGTTTCCTGAAAATAAATAAACAAATAAATAAATAAATTTTGCTTCAGATTGTGCTTAGCTGCTGGTGATTTCATGGAATGTTTCCTGAAAATAAATAAATAAATAAAGTAAGTTTGCTTCAGGTTGTGCTTGGCTGCTGGTGATTTCATGGAATGTTTCCTAAAAATAAATGAACAAACAATCAAATAAATAAATAAAATGTTTGCTTCAGGTTGTGCTTCGCTGCTGGTGACTTCATCGACACATCCTTACAGCTTTCTTGGCACCAATATGGAATCGTTTGCCATTAACAGCTTTTCTGATTCTTTCTCAATTTTCAGGATATTTTACTTTATTTCAAAGATTTTTGATGGTCACACATCTTAAGCCCGGATGGCTAACCACAATCAAACCATATAATGTATTTTTAAAAACACCACATTCTAATCAGGCACCAAAACAATTTCATATCAGCTGTACCTGTCCTTGGTTCAACTCAACTCACTTCCTGTCCTGAAAGAACAGCCAGGTCTTCACAACCTTCTGGGAGGCCAAGAAGATGGAATATTATTTGATAGAGGGGAACCAGAGTAGGGTGTGATGTACCTGCAGCATCAGAGAGGGAGGATTTTGCCAATGCAAAGCTTTCACAGAAAGAGATTTAGAATGGGGAAGGGGGAAGAGGTTCAGGGCAACCATACTCTAAAATCTCTCAGGCTATATCTAGTAGATTAAAAAGTTATAGCTTTAATTTGACAAAATTCTCTCTATTGCATGCAAACAAATAAAGGATTGAACTTGGTTGGATCTCACTGTCTTGCCTCTCAGCTTGGGCTTGACACGTGGTCACAATACAGTGGGATAGACAGATACCCTCTAGAACAAGAAATACTACCAATAGCTCTGGGAATTCCCTGGAAATCTTCAATCTTGGCACTAGGTGGGCCTGACCCTGCTTAAATTTCCAGCCCATGCAAGAATAATTAAGATGCTGCCACCTGCTCAGACTGTCCTCCCCACACCCATATGCATATTCCTAGGAAATGGGGAATTTTCAGGCAGATTTTTAGCTGTCAGATTTGGCTGGGATTGTGGCTGGCTGGCGGGCCTTATAGCACTTTCAGCCAGGTCCCAATTGCTGCTGTCCTAAATTGTTGCAAGAACTTTCATCTCCCACAGTCTGGAGATCTTTTGCTGAGAGGAGAGAAGTCCATTACTAGCTCCCAGATGGCTGTTGAACGCCAGCATTTCTAGAAAAATTGGCATAGCTGCAAGGCCTCTGCCCCATTCAGTTTTTGGCTGAATGTGCATCTGAATTCCATGCTCATTTTATAAATGCCGCCATTCACTTATTACACCTTGCACCTCGACATATTCATACAGTAACAAAATTCAAGAAATTAACAAAACTGAGTTAAGATCTGTACTTCTATTTTGAAAGGTAAGATGCAATTTTATAAGTTAGATTGACTTAGAGTTAAATTTGGATTTATAATACCCTGCTCCCCTCTTTCCAGAAAGTATTTTTAACATCTTCCCGACATAATGAGCATATGGCTATTAATCAATACTTTGTGTACTGTATTATTTCACATGGATTTCTGTGTCAAGTAAACCCAAAGTGCCTTTTTTGTCATTTTCTTCCTGAGGTTGGTCTGAAATAATGGATTCGTGGCAAAAGAATTTAGTACTTCACAAACAGGTAAAAGACAAAGGTGTCTCAAGAGAGTGACCTAATTGGAGGCATACATTTTTTGAAGAAACTCGCAATAAAGCAAATTCTCTTCTATAATAAGATGCTTGATAGGATTTTAATATTTAATATTCATTCATTTACTATAGAATTAATTATAATCAATGAATTATTTAACATTTTATTTTATTTCTAGTTACCTGATGTTAAGCCATATGCATGGGAAATTTTCTGACAGAACAATTAACCAGTGGAACAACTTGCCTCCAGAAGTTGTGAATGCTCCAACACTGGATGTTTTTAAGAAGAGGTTGGACAATCATTTGTCTGAAACGTTATAGGGTTTCCTGCCTGAGCAGGGGGTTAGACGGGATGACCTCCAAGGTCCCTTCCAACTCTATTCTATTCTATTCTATTCTATTCTATTCTATTCTATTCTATTCTATTCTATTCTATTCTATTCTTACAAATGCCACAATACCCACCAGTTTAAAAATGAAAGAATTTTCAGAGAATAACAGATTTTTAAAAGTCAAATATCCTTTAAAGTACGATATTTAAAAAATTGAATATATTATTATTATCGATA